GGTCATAAGGGACTAGGTTTCTACATTCCATAGCAGTTAATTACGGCCTACTTGAATTTCACGTAAAGTAGCTGTTAAAAGTAACGTTGCAACACTCACCGCTCCACAAAGCCACGCAGGAGAGAGGCAAATGCGAAGCTTCAGTCATGATAAACCCTGGAGCTTGATGGAGATGGTCAGTTTCAAATGATTCATGACTTGTCCATTATGCGATAACTTTATACCGTACGTGCCGAGAAGGCGTAATATAATTGCATGTACGTATATCCACAGGTTAAAAAATGTCTCTTTGCACAGTGCGTTTCATAGCTTTTGTAATTAATCTTGAATCTGTTTCTAAGAGAGGGCTTATTGTGACCATTAATATGAGCAGTAGGACCGGAGTTCTCACGAATTCTGTTTGAAGGAAGTGTAATGACCACGCATTATTTCTGTGCAATCATATAAAGTGCCTAACTGTAAAGAAGTGCAATGAAGTTCCTTTAATGTAGAGGTAATGATGATGATACAGCTCATGAACAGATGGGCTCAATCACCATAGCGGTTTACTTCACTTTTGTAAGATTTTCTTCTGGATCTCACGGACATGTTATTTCATTCTATACAATTTCGGTTAGGCGAGAGACTGAAAGTGATGTTATTTTTTAAAATTATTTTTCATTAAAAAGATATTTATGAGAATTATTCGAGTAGATACAGGTTTAAATCTATGAATTCTGGGTTTCAAAGATTATTAGATATAGACAATAGCAATAATACATTTGATTAAAATACTGTTAAGACAACTTTTAACTCAATATTAGAATACTACTATGTCAAGTCATAAAACGTAAGCATGCAGTATAGACACTTCATAGCATACAGTCATAAGTTTATCAAAATATTTCGTTAAATTAGTCCATTATTTAAACAGTTTTCAAATACACCTTTTAAATCTTTAGAATTCTACGTATTTTATACACGAATTTTTTTACCATGTGTCGATTTATACAGCACTGATGAACATCGATCTAGGTTTTATAGAAAGTAGGGGTTCTAGTAGAACTTACGTGTCTATAAATCAAAATTGAAATTATTATTTTTAATCGACACCTGGTTACTAGACTAATTTCGGAGATGAAATTGACAGGAATGGACACGGCCTCTTTATTTTTTCTTTACGTCAAGCAAAGACCGCACAGTAAAAGTACTTCTTATTATATCTGCTTTAGATCAGGCGGACAGGATTTGACGACGTATAGAACTGAAATATCTTTTGATTTTATTGCCGAACAGCCCAGTAGGTTACTTTAGAATGTTAATGTAATCTCTTTATATGCAATGGCGACACCTCTATTGCATTCTCTACATTGAATTAAATTCAAGCTGCTTTTATTTCCACCCACTGGGACTTGATTTTACTTCTCGTACACGCTACGCACTCGGTAGGGACGGCAAGGTTAGGTTAGGTTATGTTATGTTTTATTTTATATAAAAGTTAATCTTCCCCCTGTCCCGCCCTTCTCTTGTTGTTGTTTTCCACAAGATGACCTTGAAAAAGGAAGAGATTGTATGTTTACACAAACATTTTAGAAGGTGTACCACACTGGAACCGGGGTTTGAGGATGTACCGTGTCCTTCGGAAACCCTGAAGATGAAGACAGTATGTTTCCCCGGAACAATGTTGTATGACTTGGCTAAATCACGACTGTTTCACCCAGAATCCGAACCACGGACCGTTCTTTTGAGATACGTGCAGTTCATTAAACATTAATGAAATATGTTTTTAATGTATTGCGAAATTTAACGAAAGTTATTTGTTCTCCTGGGCTTACGAGTAGCCGGAAGGAACAACCTGGTAAAGTTGGTGACTTTTCGCGCATCGTTGCGAATCGCGCCTGACAGCAATTCAGTTTGAAATTGTGGGGTGAAGACAGGAAGGGATTAGCGTCCTCTTTAGCTCCCAATCCTCGCTTGAGCTCCTCGTGTCAGTTGAAGTTCGTGTTCATTGCACTGTGTCAGTACTCTGACAGGCTCATGATGTCAGCAAAAACCTCTTACGGTCTCTTTAATTATGCTAATTGAGGGAATCTTGAAGTAAAAGTTGATTACAGAGCTTGGATTTCACAATGCGTACGCCAGTTAAAAGGCCCCAAGGAGATGAGAGAACTATTTTTTTACGCTACATTTCCTTCAATTAACATGTTCTCTTGACGGCAAGTCAAACGAAGCACTCGTTCCGTCCAGTGTTTAGTCAAGCGTATCGGGATATGTTGTTTGTTGATTTGTAAATCAGAATCGTATGCACTGCAGATACGTTAGCTTTCACATCTGGTGTCTCCTCTATCCATTGCCTTACTCACAGTGAAATCAACTGAGGCACATCGCTTTACACACGCTATGTCGATGATAAATTACCAGTCGCCTTCAGTCAGTTTTCGGAGCGTAAATTAACAGACGTGATGAGCAGAGTCTTAAGTGGGCTCGTGCATGAGGAAGTAACAGCCTCCTGTTGTAGGATGCGACCAGGAAGGCAGAAGAGTTTCTCCAGAGCTTAACTTCCCGCCCCGGCAGCTTTACCCCAAAGGAATCGATCGCGGTGCTTATTGGGTACGAGGGTGGGCGGCCCCAGAGTTGGCATGGGCGTCGTGGCGAAGACAAAAATCCTCCTGTGTCATAAGGTTTTCTGAAATTATTCTTCTCGTAATTTCATCGCGAAATTCCTTTCGGTTTGCTGCTGTTGTTCCCTGATAAATTCTGAACCAGTACCAAATTTGTATTAGTTATTAATATTTATTTGTTACGACCTTGTTACAAAATTATTGTCTTGAGGAATATGAGATCCTTGAGCCATATTTATACAGAATCGCCAGTTTCGTCAGCAGTAGTGTTAAGAGAGTGTAATTAATTTTTGCACAATATTTAACGTAAGAAAAACGTTAGTTCAGTCTTTTCTTGCATTTCCAGTTGCCTATCTAGTCCAAGGTTTCGTAGCACCGAAGAATATATAGCAGAATGAAGTTGTCCCTGAAGTGTGAATAAATCCTTCAGACCAGTTGCTTGAATTTAAAACTTGGCGCTCATCTAAATTTTTTTCAATGTAGTTTTGGTTTTTATAACTTGTTTCTGGTTGCTTGGCCATATAATTTACGATACAGTTTTGTTTGAAGAAGCTGTTTCTCTATTATAGTAACATGTATTCCAAGTCTAAATATATTTTATGAGCTGCATCCTATTACCTAGACGATATTTATCTTGTGTTGAGAATGTTGTCATTCCAACGTAGGGAATCTACGTTTCGATATTACAACATACGAAAGAAGTCTTCTGTGCGCCTCACCTTTGGATGCGACTTTATTAGGCCTACATAAAATGTTTTCAGAGGCCTCGTGTCTGACGTTAAACCCTCAGGAGCTGCTTGGGAAAAGTGGTCTGTACTTGTTTTTAAATCCATTTAGGTTTGCAGTTCTTTCTTCCTGAATTGTGTGTTTCGTAATATGACAGCAGTCGATTGATGGCACTATGTTTAACCAGTGTTTCTGGTGTTTCTGCGATATTTAAGAAGTCTGATGATCTAATGTCTGTTTCACAACGAACAAGACTGCCGGAGCGTGAAACAAACTGCTCAACCGATCTCCACTGGAGTTAAGAATTGCCTCTACTTTCGCTGTGTATGGCGGTGTGCCCTGTGACGTGGACAACCCTCCTTTAATTTGCCTTTCTCTACTTTATGACGAGGTAAAATACTATGGGTGAAGAGTCGAGAAAATGAGAAAACAGAAAACATCTCGATCGTAAACCAAGAATAAATATTTCAAGAGCAGTAATGCTTTAATGACCTCTGAACACAGGTCGGTGGCATCTCATGGTCAACGGGTCTGTCTTGTGTACTGAATGCCCTCAAATCGAGTGCAAAGGCGGTTACTTTACCTGTCTCCTTAATCACCCCATACATATGTGTCATGGTCTGTAAGACAAATAGAAGTATTTTACAAACACTTAAATATTTTCAGCTTCTCATCAGTTTGCTAGTTCATGCACACATTAATCGAATTCGTTCCTAATTGAGGTACCACAGCGTGCTACATAGTAAAATAAAATCCTTGCGTTGTGTCCAAATGGAGGTATGGGCCTGTGCGTAGGAAGTTTCTTCTGTCGACGTATGATGATGACTGAGGGACATCCGCCTTTAGGGCCACATTAGCTCCTTTTCATAATTGCCAAATTAGGTTAAATGAAAGTTCAAAGATTTTACGTTTATAATCAGTTGATGTAGTGCAACTGTGCTGAAAGTATGTGATAATTTTGATATGTCTATAATTAAATAGTTGGAGTAATATTATAGGCTGTTGATATTATGTGCGGACAATGTGAGATGCCGTATTTCCTCGGTGTTAAAACGCGCTAATTTTTTTATTTTAAAATTTCTCAAATTTGTGTGTTACATTTGATGACGTCTAAGAATCGATATTTTTTTTCTCCTGTAAATCTATTACTAAATCAAGGGCGCGTCTTGAAATCGATGACGTCTTAAAATAGAGGATTAAAGTAATATGCCAGTGGCTTTGCAATTACTTCATTGCAACTCGTTCCCAGATATATTCCACTGTAACTAAATGGATTCCATATGTATCGGGACATATTTCAGAGCCTTGTTTGAACATTGCGCCATTTTGAATTACAGGAGACCTCAAATCTACTCTGTAAATGGAGATGAATGGTATTTTCACGCGTGACTGTGTCCTCGGGCAAGGAAATCATGATACCTTTATTTATGGAGGCTGTTATATGCATATGAATTAGCTGTTATTAACCCTGTACTCATTTACGTTCTCAGAGTCGTCGAATACACAGCCATCTGTAAAACTGATTCTGTTTCGAAACTAGTTACATATACCGCAGAATAAAACTGTGTTTTGACGGTCCATGTCAGCTCTCTATTTTCTTATACCCCGGTGTCTAGAAAGGCATGAATGAACTAGTAACAAATTCTTAGAAAAGTGCATCGTTATACGCCTTACCTTGAACTTGTAAGACTGAATGACGGAAGCGAGGATGAAGCTGGACTACAGCATGGAGATCTGAAAGAAAAATGATGATTATTGGTGATGAGGCAATTAACACTATGACGGTATGAGAAGAAGAGACAGTATGTCTTAACAAAATACGTCATTTTCGATTGTGGTCTTATGATTAGTAGCGCCGTGATGGTTTTCAACGCTTCGAAGGAACGTAACGCCTCCATCTTCAGTATTGTGACTGGTAGGATTTTAACTTTTCATGGCCTTGTGGCTCCTTTCCCTTCCTGTTGCCTTTCTCTGTCACTGGCGTCCCTCGGCCCTTTGTTCCTCCCTCGCGTGCCCTCCTTAGAATTAAGCGATTATTAGGGCTTCGTGGTTTTCCTTTATTGTCATTCTCTTCTCCCCATGCCCTCTGTCCAACCTCATTCTATATATACGCCTCTCACCTGATCGGAACCAACTTCAGCCCTTAAAATGTAGGCGACACTTTTCTCCGAAACTCTGTTAACCACGTGCAAGATCACACGGCCTCGTTACAACTCAGAAGACGCGGTCGACGCATTCCCCGCAGAGAGAACTTCATAGAATTTTGAAGATTTTTTTGAATTTCTTGTGTTATGGCATGCCGGAAAATATCAGTTCTTTGCTGCGAAAAACGTCTTCTTCTTCTTAAAGTGCCTATCCGTTCAGGATGTTGGCGATCAGCATAGCAATTTGAGCCATACGTTCGTTTGTTTCTGCCATGCTTGATTGTACTAGGGAATCACGAGTATAATGGAGTGGTTTCCCGTTGCCTTCTCCGTCGCAGTATCACAACCGGTACAATCAGTATGTGATTGTAGCCTGTGAATATCTGGTGACGGGCCTTTAGGGAAGTCATTCTTCAATAGCCTCGCCCCAGAAATGACATAGCTGCTGTCCTATGCCATCTACCGTGACCCTGGTAGAGGGACCCTTGCAGTTTGCTACCCCTCGGGTCATGGGGAAAAACGTAAGGAGTCAATTTACGTAACATCTCAACATTGTCAGATCACGTGAACGAAGTGTAAGATTGGTAGCACACGTAGCAATCATTCATTTTAAGTGTGTAGGTAATTTATTAATCATTTACGGTGGACGAAAGAAACGAAATGGTTGCATAAAGATGGTTCCATAGCACGAAGATGCGCTGTGTTATACGCGTTGTTTCCGCGTTGGAATGCTACGGAGTTTTAAGTTTAGCTATGAGAACGCAAGACAGGCATTTGTTCGGACTCTGTATAATGATTTGTGAGGTCGTTACGAGAAGAAACGATGCATACTAGTTTTTTTAATAGATTTTGTTTTAGATTTTACGAGCCAGCCACTCTTCTTTTACGGGGGTTTTTATGGCCTGTGACAGAATACTTACGAAAGATAAATCTGTTAGGACTGAAGAAGATGCTATTCATAAGTTGTTTCTGTCTTATATTGTTTTACTCGTGTATAATATGTCAGATAACTACGGGTACAAGTATTTTGTTTCCGTAATAGGGTGTTTCTTCACGAGCTGAGTCAATTATCAACAGCTTATGGGATATCCTATACGAAAATCGGAGGGGGCTGGAGGGAATCTGAGATAACGAACTGGATGGAGCAACGTTTCTTGAGAACCTCAGCTGGTCAAGAAATTTCTGTCCTCTTAGTTCCAAAGCCATTTGATCCTGTCATGAGTCAACTGAATCCAGTCCACACCGCCACACACTGTGTGTTCCCACGTACACCTACTTCTTTCAAGTTGTATCTGTAGGTTTTTCGATTTAAATGTATGTATGCATTTATTACATCTCCTGTTCATGTTTCTCGAATAGGTTCAGTAATGATCCATTACACTGCAATGCCAGTTATTCCTGGAAATCGTAATGTTTTATCCTGTTGAGATCAGTTCTGCTGGAATTTTATCAATGCCTAGCGGTTTATAGCTTTCCTGTAGCGAGGAATCAATTACGGCGAGTTTTAAATGCATTCTATTTACATTCGCGTGAAAGAACTACATTTCTTGTCTGTTAACCTCGGAAATGAAGTACCTATGTCGTTAAAGCGGTGGGTAACAAATACAGTCCTTTTGATTTGTTATTTGCCAGAGAAAAATGAAATGTGCTGTACATCGTTCGAAATTTCGACTTAAATCATTTTTACTTGTTTGAGTCTTGAGTTACAGACTCATAATTATGTTCATACTTGGTACTAATACATTTCAAGTCCATTTATGCTGTATCGAAATTGCTAACAGCTGCAACTTCGTACAAATAATTCTTTATTTCGAACTGCACCTCGCTCATGCGTGCGGGAGACGGACGGACATTTTGCCTTGGTCTGTGTGGCACACGCTAAAGCATCGAAAGACACTGTGCTTTTGGCTACCGCCGACAAAGCTTCAGAACAGGAGTGATGTCGGAGTGCCCCACCGCAGTTCTTGTGACAGTAACACAAATGACGTCAACGACACACTCGTGCGTACCTTTCCATCTTAAGTCGCAGGTCCAGGGTTCGTTCTCCACCAGGTCATCGAACATATCAGCAATGTTCATTGAGTTAAGAAGCAGTAGGAGTTATTAATTTAATCCATTTCGCCAGTTGCATATCAGTTAATTTTGGTATCGAAGCTTAATTTACAACTTTAAAAAACCAGACTCTACGTCATAAACAATAAAGACGGCCTGTGTCATTCATAGGTGCTTTTAATGAGTTGAGGGAATAATTGTCTACTTCTTTCTATGAGTAAGAGTGATTCATGACTCATTTTGTAGAGAACGGATTGTGGTGGGGTGTACGCTTAATGGCCGCTGAATTTAGTGTTCTCTGGACGAGGTACTGTACAACGAATGAGTGAATACTGGAATGTGGGTTCTCCATGCTTCTGTATCGTTCATCTCCGAACTCTTTCCAATGTCACCACAGATATTCGTGCGTACGTTTTACTTGTTAGAGGAAGAGACAAGAAACTTGTGAAAGGTCATCAGGTCCGTTATCTGATTTATATAATCCTTGAACTAGAATTGGACGTCGTGTTTTTGAGCAATATAACCGCCTTTCCTCACAGCGAAGGCCACAGTTTTTAAATACCAGCAAACATTTTGCCATCTTTTGAGTGGCCTTGAATTTGCATCGAGGCGTAGGTTTGGCTTCGTGCGTTCTCTTCGCATTATGTGCCTGTGGGTTCATTCCTAGTCGTGATTAGGGATCCTGAAGGGTGCACTGGGATGCGAGGAGGATTTTAGCTGTTTCTTCACCCCAGTTCATGGCAGTGCGCGCCTTCATTCTTATATTTGAAAAACACTGCAAGTTGTTTAGCCTCAGTAACTAACTGCATGGAGCAGAGTCATGCTTTAAGTATCTCAGGCACCTGTCTGATGAATCAGTCGTCTCCTTCAGTGATTTTCCCGTTATAATACGACTAGTTTGAACCGCGTTGTGATGCTTCCTTACAAATATCATCACAATCACCACTATGCTGTGTGTGTTGTGGACACGCAAGCTGTCATTTCCGGTATGTGGTACATCTCCCGTTCCGGTTCTCGAAGTCAGGTCCGTTCCATGTGACGTCAGGTTGCAGCAGGTACTGCTGTTGTGGTGGCCCACTTTCTGGTCCGCAGACCCCTACACACGGTTATGTTCTCACAGTGATTCTGATGCTCGTCGCAAGACAGTTTCCATCCTTGTAAGCGTGCGTACAGGTGGAACTATTCTGGCTGAGCGTTTACTTCCATAATATAACGACGCTGTATCAATTACCGAGGTTGTGTAGTATGGAATTAAAATCGCTACTAGTGATAGCAGTTGGGAAGTTCTGTGTCTAATCGTCGGCATTCAGACTTCCTGTAGTGACCAAGGAAATATCTTCCCATTATGTCGTATTATCTATTAGCATATGTGTGTAATAATATTAATGTTGAGTGTTTTTGAATTACCAATTAGACTATGCTTATAAGAATTCCCCAGGTTAAATATTTCGTGCTTGGTAAGAAGGACTTAAGTTAATACAAATTACATTTTACGTAAGCCCGTCTTAACAATTACTAAGGATCCAGTCACAGACACAATCAAAAACTGTCGCTCGCATTCACTCTCGCGGCCAACTTTTCTCTAAAATACAAAGTCAAATAATTCTCATGAATATTCTTTTGTTCCAAATAGGACAATGGATATTTAATTTAGGTATAGAAAGTTACACTACTTTCAGTTGTTATAATAACCTTATATTTGAGAAATTGTAAGAACATGAATGTGAAGTGTCAAGAGTAAGATTGTTGTAATAAATAGTATTAGCCCAATTAAGTTCACTTTTACAAGCAAGAGAGAGAGACTGACATTCGAAAGTGTGCTCATGTCTGATGTGTAAAGTAGACAGTAACTGTGACTGAACAAATTTTGCTGTTTGCAGAACAATTAGGCACTGTGTCATCGCCATTCAGAGAGCCTGTCGTGTTAGTGTGTTACTACGACGTTACACTTCCCATGTGAAGTTGAGGCCTACTTAGAGTGCTGGGCTGTGAAAAATAGGTCTTCGTTCGTTTGAAGAATTTTGGATTAAAGGGAACTTGAGATTTGTTTAAAGAAACATCGAAACACGAGAGAGAATGTATACGATTTCTTTTAAGGTTTTACGTATATATTATATGAGCACACACACTACTTGTGTAATGATTCTAACATTATTTATTAATAATGCTAACTTAAATGAAATAGGCGCTAATTGTTACATGTGGCGTGACAAGGTCTTAGAAGATTCAGAGCCCAATTTTATAAACGTTAGGCCTTTACATTGACATTTTTGAATGAAACTGCGTAGCTAATGTGGCTAACTTTCCAACAACGCAGCTGATGGTTTCCGGAGGATTTCCATACTTGACTAATTTTCAGCCAGCCGGGTACCATGCAACATAGGAAAACAAATTGGTGTATTACACTACAATGACAAACACAGAACTTCTTGTATTATTATTGAAAATCCTCTATACATTATGAATAAACTAAAGTAGAATCAATTTTCATTAGATAACCGGAAATGAGGAACTTGATAGAGTCCATACGTGTATTGT